GAGTGGTTGTGGCCCGTCAATGCTGACGACTAAGGAGTAGCGAAGTCATCACAACTATTTTTTAATGATGACATCCATGTTTGTGCAAATGTATGTATGTGCATATGAACTAAGAGTACACATAATATTTTTTCTTAAATATATATTTTTCTTGCATAATTTTATGACACAAGTGTCATAAATGTAAATATTAAATTTTAGGTGTTAGATATGTAAATTCATAAAAAAAAATTTCCAAATAAATATACATAAACATGGCTCTATAGTTTTTTTTTTATTAATTTTCATAATTGTATTTTGAGAACTAGTTCCACTCATTTGTGCAACCTTTCACCATTGCCAATCCCCACTAGGGCACAAGTGAGTTGAGCTCAGGTCAGCACCGACTCGACTTGTTAGCTCCTGAGTCGGCTCGTGGATGAAAATATTAATATAAAATAGACTCAAAATTTACTAAATTTCAATATTTAATCTTTAAATTATAAAAAAAAAAATATTTAAAAATATGATTTATTTATCTTAGTATTGCACATTCCATTTATCATTTTATTATAACACTAGTTTAAATTAATAGTGTTTTACCTCTTTCATGATAAACAAGTCAACTCGCGAGTCTACTCAAACTCGTAAACTTAAGCTCAAGTTTCAGCTCAAATTTGATTAATTAATCAAGCTCAAGACGTGGGTGGCACAAGCTTGACTCAACTCGTTCACACCCCCTAATCCCTGCTATCCCCCACCACCACCACGCCTTGCCGCCATAGTAATAATCAAAATGAAAATTATCTAAATTAATTTGGATGATACGATCAGAGAGCTTCGAGTATGAGATTTTTTTGGTGCGGGAGAAAATGCTCGATCATCAGACCACTATCTCATTTATAATGGTTGACCGTGCTAATTTATAATAGATTTACATACATATCACTCTATTCCTATATATTTACATATATAACTTCTAAATTTCAATTTTTAGATATATGACCCCTTTTCAATGCATGATATAAAAGATTTTTGGGCGGTATAAATGTAAAAAAGTAAAGTTTAGATGATCATAACATAAATAATTTGTTATATTTTATAAAATTTGTCAAACTTATTAGTTTGAAAAAATAAAAAATAAAAAAAATAAATAATTATAACTCCAATGTTTTATTTCTTACATAGTTTAATACTTATGTTCAATGATTCCTCTTGACTTAGAGTTACAAACAAAGACAAGAGTGAAAAATAATACTAATAATAATACTAGGAGATTTGTGTGTATTTAATTATTTATTTAAATGGACTTAATTTTAGGAAAAGCCACATGGCATTCAACTTATTTATGTATTTATTTATTGGCTTTAACTAGACATTTGTACCCTCCTAAATGCTTATTAATGTATGATTTATTTCTCATCAAATATATAATATAATCAATTGATGGACAAAAGAGACGGCAAATAATGCAAAAAAAAGCTTTTTAAGGGATATTGCTTTCACCTTTTTATGAATGTGAAATTTTTGGAATATTTACGCGCTATATATGACATCAATCGTTCTCTGGCAATTTAAGATGTTGAGATTGTCCAGAGAATCTGATGAACTCAGTTAATCGGTACGCTCGGTTCTCCCGTCAGTCGTCCTCCTCCATTCGACTCTCTCTAGTCGGCCTCCCATCAATCAACCTGCTCCAGTCGACCCTCTACAGATAGTCCACTCTGGTTGGCTCTCTCGAGTTAACACTCTCCAGTCGGCCCAGGAGAAATGTGACCAGACAAAATGCATGAATGTAGATATAAATTACATTATCTATGACATATTGTTCTCTAAATGTGACTATTACTTATGTAGACCATATACATTAGTAATAATTACATTCAGAGAAGAATGTGAGAAATAACATATTTGTTATATATCATCTGTGCACTTTATTCGATCACATTTTTTTCTTGGGATTGGTAGAGAGGGACGAGTGAAGATTAGAGTTGACTGGAGATGGCCGACTGTAGACGATTGACCCGACTGAGTCCGCACAATCATAATAGTTTACTGTAAATCAAATTTGAGTCAAGATTTTTCTGACTCAAAATGTGTCTCATGGCCGGCAAACCAATCTCTCATTTATTTAATTTCTCTCTTCTTTTTTCTTCAAAATACAATTAAGAAAGAGATTAAGAAAGATCTCATTAAGCTAATATATAAAGCTCCATCTCCATAGAAGAGAAGATTCTAAGCTCAACGCTATCTCCTTCCTCTAATCTCCATTATAATGCAGCTTCTTCTTCTTCTCCGACCAAAGTTCTTCTCAGTCTCTGCTCTCTTCTTCTTCCTTCTTCTGGGGAGCTTTACCTGCAGCTGCAATGCCCGTCAATGGCCAAACTCAGAGATAATCAATCATGCTGTAATCTGTCACCATGATTGCAGCAGCAGAGATTTAAAAGAAGTAAATCGATCTGCTATGAAGATTGTTCCTCCTTCTGCACCAGGTGGAGGAGGCAACATATGAGCAGCAGCTCAGATTAATTCTCTCTGTGGATTAATGAAATAGTTTATTTGATATATATATATATATACTTATTATTCTTCAGAAAAATCATTGTTTGATGGCTTGAATATATACTTTTAGAGGATACAACAAAGATTTTATTTACATCTTCTTTAATTTTATCGTTTCCATTGTTTTTTGTTAAGTTAAAAAACAGAGTATGTTGATTCAAAGAACAATAAGATCTTCTGATTTTGATTGATGTTTGATGCGCATTAATGGAGGTTTCAGAGCCGACAATCATTAGTTTCCAAGACTCCAAATGACTTCATCTTATTTGATGTCATTTGTATTAAGTTTAAGACTACTATTTTGCACACTCTGTAATTTATTTATTTTTTTTAAAAATCATTGAAATATGTATCATTCATTCACTTGTTCTTTCACATGTTTTCATAAACATCCAATAATTTGATATTAATTCTTTGCTATAAACATAAACTTTATTTCCATGTTATCTATCATAGCCTTTGGGATTCTAATTATTAGACTCCCTC